CCCCTGGGGAGCTGCCTTCCTGGCACGTCGGTAGCATTGGTGCTCAGCATGGAAAACAAGATCGACGGAAAAAACAAACCAAAGGAAAAAAAAAATTATTGTCATACTAAATGGAAATGCATATGGTATTGGTTCAGCCCCATACCGCAAATCATTCAAAACGATGATGTAAATAATCCTGTCGAACGTCATTTGCTGATCTGAGCTGACAGACGAGTTGGAAGCATAGCCATCGCTATCAGAGCTGTTACGAACATAGGTAAAGGGTGAAAACCAACGTTTGGATAATTGCTGGTGAAGGATGTTTCCTCTACTACCGAAGAATTTTTGTATCCATAATGGAATGGCAGATTATGGCTGTTCGGTATGGAAATGTAGATAATCAAATTATAAATCTAACTATAAGGTCTTGTATGTCACACTATTTTAAATGTTTGTCCTCTGAGTCTGGTGCTGAGTATGTTTTGTAGCCAATTTTCAAACGAAAATCATCCTTTATTTGGATCACTGTCATATGGATGTTCATCATCTGACGACGAATTCAACCATAAGAAAATCATCTGAAATTCGAATGCATATTGTTAAAGGGCTCGAGCAATGCAATAATCATTCGAAGTATTGCGGATGTTTTGGTTCAATGCAGACAGCTGTGGGATAACTGATCGACAAGTGTTGCCATCATTCGAATTGCCAAAGCCTGGTTTTGGAAAATCCACAAGAAGTCTCAAGTTCATTCTGAACTTTTCTTGAATGTGTTCTTTTCTTTCTTCGGCGATGTCCTTTTCATTGTCAGTTAAGCGCCATTTTTTGATCGGCAACTTGTAAAAAAATATATCTCGAAAATAAGCATGACGAATGGATAATCCGAATTTAAGAGAACGTTTGTTGATTTCCTTTTTAACACCAAGATTATTGTATTTTCTTTTGAACTTGCACCATCTATATATAACATTTCATCGTTGATGCCGTTTCAGTTCCAGCACTACACACACATCAACCACAGTGAGCATAAAAGTATGGCTAATAGTGAACTGCTTGCCATTTGTTTTGTCGGCCGTATCGAATTAATTGCATTTTCAATATATCTGATAAGACTGAATCCTGATGAATGTGGGCGTTTTAGTGGAATGCCTGTATAATGAGAGAGAGAAGGATTAGTAATTTCCATTTAATTCCACTACCTTATTTGCTTATCCTTGACAGATACGCGTATTTCATCTACAATGTGCAGACTTCTTCAGTGTCTTGTACTAATACTCGAGTATTAGTACCAGACACTGAAGAAGTCTGCACATTGTAGACGAAATACGCGTATCTGTCAAGGATGAGCAAATAAGGTAGTGGAATTAAATGGAAATTACTAATCCTTCTCTATCTGATTAGACTGGCCCACAAAAATAAAAGTTCTAGTTTTCCACGGGCCCACCTCTAGATTTGTACCTTTAGGTGAGAAAACCATTCTCTTAAAGTTTTAGCTCATTTGGTTGTAGGATGAGCTGGCGCTTTTAGTTTGAACTTTGTATGGGGAATTTGAATAAAATACATGAAAAAATGACACCCCTACACTCTATCGATCATACAAAAGTTTCCTTATTCTCGATTTGATTTAGATTTTCAAAACTTGTAGTTCAGTTAATGAGTAACAACTTTGCTGAAGATTTTGAAGATATATGAGCATTTTGTATATGAAAATTTCAACCAAATCTCCTATATGAACATTAAACCAAAAGCGCCAGCCCTTGTAACGTCAACAAGAGTTGAAACATTCAGATAGTGGTTATCGCACCAAAAGACACGAGCCTGGATGTTAGCCTGTGGAAAATATGAACTTTTATTTTTAGTGGTAATCTAATTGATACGTTGCATAAGCTGCCTGTATGTTGTTGCATTATAAGAGTCGAGTGCACATAACTAATTAATGTCTCCATAATACTAACTTGAATCGTGATGTTGTCTTCAGCAAAGTTGATCCTTGTAGTTTAAACTACGTATGCTGAAATTCTGAGCTTAATCGAGTTTTCTGGACCAGTTCTATGCACAAAAAGTGAGGAATGTTATTTCTCCATACATTTCAAACAATATCCCCATATGAATTTTAAATCAAAAGCGCCAACTCATGTTACATCCGAATGAGCTAAAATTGTCTGAGAGTGGTTTTCTCACCTAATGGCACAAACCTAGGCCTGTTGAAAAAAATGATAAAAAATTTCCGCTATATAAATGTGGGCCAGTCTAATATCTGATCTCTTCATTAATTACCGCAGATGATTCCTTGATCAACCTAATGCAGATTGGGCGACATTAGCGAGGTGGAGATGGAATTGGGTTTTGCCAAACTATTTTTGAATTGGATCTACAAACTATTCTAAACGGTACAAATGAACTTCGGAAGACACTCGTATCCGAATCCATATCGCTTGCACCTGATGGAATTATGAAACAAAAAAAAAACTGCTTAAAAATATACCTGAAATCCAACCCCCCCCCCCCCCCACCCTCCTCTTGCCCCTCACAAAACAAGGCCTTGACTGACTGGGTTACCGCCATATAATGGATGAAAATGACATTAACTGCATTTGTGTACATTTCTTGATAAATTCACGCCATCTTCATTTTTCGATTTCTCGAAAGATCGCAAATAATCGCAGCTGATTTTTTGCTATAATCTCCTATATACATGTACATATAATGCCGCATATACGGCTTTACAGGACATAACAGGATAAGTCAACTTTTTTAATACGATATATTTATTAAGTGAAGTCAAAATTAAGTGAAATCAGCTGTTGTAATGGGGAATAATTATTTCAATACCTGCTTGATCTCTATAAATTTTTTTTTTTTCAAATGAATGTGATTATCCCAACAACAAGACACGAAAACAATGGCACTGCGGAACGATTTTTTCTAACAAACCAACACGATTCAACAACAGGCAAGTTTGAACTGATGCCACAACGCGGTCAGTTTAGAAAGAGAAATAATGAGTACAGGGCATTGTTACCCTACCTCTGAAGTATACAATGCATGCATTCAGAATCTGTTTTGGCTTATTTTGAGAAATCGAATTTTGGCCAGCTAGCGTAGAACAAATACCCTTCCGTGCGGCGCCGACTGGGATTGAACCCATGGGCCTGCTGGGGTGAGAGGCAATCACGCTTACCACTACACCACCGGCGCCGCTACCAATGAAACTTTGTGGGTATAAAGACTAAATCTACTTAGGGGCCGTTCATAAACTACGTAGACAGTTTTTTGGGATTCTTGACCCCCCCCTGGGTAGACAATTGTCCATAAAAAAAATAAAATTTGTATGGGCCGTGGATAATTGTCAACCCCCCCCCCCCCCCCTAAACTGTCACCGTAGTTTATGAACAGCCCCTTATACAACTTTGCATATTTGTTTTCCTTAAAATAAATTTTACACAGAAAATAAAATTTAGTTTAAATAGAGTAAATGATGCTAATAGAAGTTCGGACGCTGCTTAGATTGACGAAAGTACAGCAAAAAATAAATTTTAATATTACATCCAAGGGGATGCACTTCAATCTTGTGGAAAATCTCATGTATTTTTATGGCGAAAAAAAAAATGCAGTAAAAGCAGTGTAATGTCAGTTCACGCACTGTATTAATGATAATTTTGTCCTTTTTGGCAAGTTATATTACACCATATTTTCGGCACGATTGAAGTCCATTCACATTGATGTGATTTTCAAATTAATTTCATTTCATTAATTGATGAACGAGAAAGATAAAACATTACTAATTTTGGATCTTATCTACCAAATCTTCAACAACTCGGTTCAACATTCGAGGCAATTCAAGCAACTCGATTTAAAAGTTTTTAATTTAAATTATCCCTGAAATACATGAACATTTCTCTAAGACTGGAAGCTTCAATTTAAACGTAAGACAACGTAACATGGCCTTACCGAACACTTCGTAGTTAGAATCTTTTACAATCATGGAAGAAATAATTCTGAAACCTCCATACATGTTAACCGTCGGAAGCACGCTCAGTCACAAAAAAAACGACTTGTTGATAATACGAGATGAACTAGCCATTGTGCTAATGGTTCGCTAATAAAGCAATAAAAAAAAACTTGTTGATAATTGTTAACAACACAGAAAAAATATTAATATCACATCAAAGTGGATGCACTTCAATCGTGTCGAAAATATGGTTTAATATTACTTACCAGAAAGGACAAAATTATCATTAATACAGTGCATGAACTGACATTCCGCTGCTTGTACTGCATTTGGTTATTTTTGTGGCCATTAAAATTACATGAGATTTTCGACTAGATTGAAGTGCATCGTCTTGGATGTAATATTAAAATTTATTTTTTGCTGTGTAATACTTATGTAGCTCCTCAATATATCAACATAGAAACCAGATGCGGCTTGAATCGAGCTTGGCGAAATATATGCACATATAACAGTCTCGATAGATAACTCGTAAGCAGTGATGGTCATCGAATAATCTATGCCAACACTCCCTTTTCAAATGTAATTATCGTGCATTAAATTCTAATCTAGAATTTTGACTTTATTATTACTAGCTACAAACTAGATCACATGAAAATATCATACTCCTTTATTTGGTACAAGTATTCTGGATGAAATAATTTGAAAAATTCAAAACATACAAACAGAAACTCACAAGTGCCGATAGCTCGACCGCCTCTGTACCAGCCACTAACTAGATTATAGCTTTCGTTCATTACCCCCACGACAGTCCAATGAAGAAAAAAAATAGTCCGCAAGCACATGGAGAATCCATAGAAGTTGTCAGTGTTATATTGTCTCTTGAAATCGCCAGCAGCACTTGCACCGATGTGATTTGTTATGTCTTAGCTCACAGCCATTTCAAATCCGACTTACCAACCGTGCAAGTGTCTATCAAAATCCCAGTAACAGCATCCCATCAGCGGAGAACATAGTGTAGGTATATTCGATTTCATCGGATTTGGAAAGCTCGCCGGCAACCTGAGCAGCTGCAGCAGCAGCACCGATAATGGCAGCAGTGATTTACGTAAATTCTGACGTTCTCACCGGTTACCTCACGCTGGTGCTGGTCTGTCTGGCTGGATTCGCTGTCTGGTTCGTGTCAACGTCGGGAACCCGATACTGGCAGTTTTTCAGCGTACCGTACATCGAGGGGAGGCCCTTTGTGGGAAACTTCCTCGATGCGTTTCTGTTCCGGAAGAGCACGTTCGAGCTGATGGATGCACTTTACCAGAATCCGAAAGTCGACGGAAGCAAACTATTTGGGGTGAGCATACTGATGCAACCGGCACTGGTGCTGCGGGATCCGGAGATGATTAAACAGATGCTCATCAAAGATGCTTCGTATTTTAGTAACAGGTGAGTGGATTGATGATCGAGGGATCTCCGTCTTGGAAATTGATGTTCTTGGGAAGATATCCGATTAGTATGATCAGAAACTCATGAGTCATGAATGCTTAGTTATATGCTAGTTTCTATTTGTCCGTTTATGTTGCTATTCTTATTCCCCACTTCGTCGGTTCTTCTGTATTTTTCTTATCTTCTTAAGTTCATTCATTTCCAGCCAAAGTAAAAGAACGTAAATACTGTTATTAGTTATGTGTGTTTTACAATCCTTCTTTTATTCTTTTGCTCTCTGCTCTCCTGTTATTCTATTCCTTTATTGATAACTCGAAATTATTCATGATCTAGCTATGCATAGTCGGCAATGGGACACAGTCTAAGAGATCGGTGGAAGACTATCTGTACAAATATCTTTCGACACGAGACAGTGGCACCGGTGGTTTAGTGGTAACGTGATTACCTCTCACTCCAAAGGGACTTCCTTCAATTTCAATTCCTTCAATTCCAGTCGGCGCTGTCAGGATTTTCTGAAGCATAAAATCTCTGATCACGCTTTCCTTCGGGAATTAAATCCGTTCGTCCCCGATCCATGAGTTGATGGGTCGATAGGTAGGGTCCAAGTGGAGCTGCCCTGGCGTTGGTAGCATTGGTACTCTGTACGAAAAACAAGAAATCAAATCAAGGAAAAAAGTAAGAGGTTGTATCCAAGACATGACCGTTTTGACTTTTGATTTTACGTGCTCGGTTTCAATATTCGGCGACTGTGGTAGGGAAAGCACTTTTTCCCATCACGAAAGCGCCTCGTTTTCTGATGAAAATATTACGCGTTTTCGTGCACAAATCGCATGGAATTTTTGGTTTATTCAATAGATATAAAAAAGCGAAAATTGATTGGAGGAATTTCTTGCTCAAATTTTCCATTCGTGAGATATTCGCGATCAATCATATAAATTCGAGATTTTCTTGCATTTTTCTAGCGTCCTAAAGAAATTTTAATGCACCACTTCAATACTGTTACGCATTTGACCACAAACGTTTGGTTGCTGGGTACATTATCAAAGCTCTTTGGGGTGAACGTTCAATGAAAATTAACTCTTAAACAACAAAAAATAATGGTGGTCCTAAAAATACCCGTTTTGACGTGATGATTGAGTAATGTTGAGCTATTAGGGTGTTCAACACGGATGATACTGGTGAGCTGTATGTTGTTTGGAAAGAGGATGACGCGCTTGGCATAGATGGCCCACAGCGCCTCACGAAGAGCTACTGAATCCGATCAGTAGTGGTGAGGCTTCTTCCTCCTTCTTCGGTGAATTGATGCTCATGTGGGCTGCAGCTCGCTACTTGCGGGCAGCCTTTCGTTTTGTACTGGAAAAAAAATAATAAACAACTTTACTAGCGGGTGCACTAGTGTGCGTGCGTTAAACGTCACTAATCTCTATTAATCTCCTGCACTCGATTCTTTTGTGAGCAAGAGACCAGAGAGATCACTCAAACAATTTGAGAGACATACGATGTGAGTAAGAGCTGGTAGACGCTGTTGTCCTGTTGAAGTAATGAAATTGGGTTGTTAGCGGAATGCTTAAATAAAACAGCAAAAAAAGGTTATCTTCCATTTAATTCCACTTAATTAATTATACATGACAGATACGTATTTCGACTACACTGTGCAGTCTTCATCAGTGTCATTCCCACTAAAGAACTTTTCAAAATCTAACCCCCTTAACTACTCATCCCCTAGGTATAAAAGTCAAGGGGGTTAGATTTTGAAAAGTTCTTTAGTGGAAATGACACTGATGAAGACTGCACATTGTAGTCGAAATACGTATCTGTCATGTATAATTAATTAAGTGGAATTAAATGGAAGATAACATTTTTTTGCTGTTGTCCTGTTCAAATTTTGCTGGCTACTTTTTTTGTACAGTGCTAGGATGAAACTGTCGGAAGAAAAACTTTTTTATTTTAGTGTCCTCTTTCATGGTCCCTTTCATCCAATGAATACCCCTTTAATGCAAGGTAATTTTGTGGATTTGTTGCCCCCTCGGTAGAGATGAAATTTTGCACTCTTTTTTTATCAAAACAATCAAACCAAAATCAGAGATGTGCCATTTTTTAATTACTCGATTAACAACTAATCGATTATATTTTTTTTTTCGTTGTGCTTTCATTTTTCCTACAATGAGAGTGCAGCATGTAGGCATGATATTGTGGACCTTTATGCACCAACAGGAAGGCACGGAATCACCGGGAAAGCGAAAAAAGGGAGCACCAGAGAGCAGACAAAAGAACCGCGGGTACTTTCAGGGAGAAAAACTAGAAACACGTATGCAAGTTGAGGATTTATTGTGCGATTAATTAGAAACGTCAAAAGCGTTGCCAGACATAACGATTTATCGGTATTTATACCGATTTTCAAACTTGATACCGATATACCGATAAGGTTTCTCAGAATACCGATTTTTGAGCTACATTACCGATTTATACCGATTTTTTTTTATTAATAATCAAAATGATTACTGCCTGCCCGCACTGAATTTTCAGAGGAAACTATTGTGAGAGACTTTTATCTTTTTGAAAATTACAATTACAGACTGTTCTAAAAAAAATCTTCAAAAATGTCTTATGCTTCCAATTCCTCGCCGTTTTTGATAACCAAAGAGTCAAGAAACAGCTGATGGCTCCATCCCAGTAATTTCTAGAAATCGAGAAATACTTCCGTCCATCTTACCCTGTAAATTATTTTCCGATTCCTTCTGGAAAGCTATTTCGACTTCCCTTGGAAGCTTCTTCTGGCTTCGCTCGAAAGGATATTCCGTCTCCTCCCGTCAGTTTTTTCAACTTCTCCGGAACTTCAGAAATGCTTCCAGAGTTTTATTGCGGTTCCATTAGTTTCAGGAAAACTTCAGGAACTTTTCAGAAGTTCTGAAACTTCAGAATAGTTCTGACTTTTGGGTAGGTTCAGATAAATTAAAGACAGTTTCATCAACTTCTGTCCAAATCCAAGAACCCGGAAATCTCAGGAAAGCCCAGAGAACTCCAATGAACGTAAGGAAACTGAAATATTTTGGAAACTTCACAAGCCCAAAGAACTTCAAAGAAATTTAATGGTTTTCAGAATAGTTCCATTTGTTTCAGGAGAATTGAGATAACTTTAGGGAAGCATGAGTACAAAAAAATTCAAGGAAATTTCTGAACCTTTAAATTAGTTCCGAAAACTTCAGTTAAGATCCGAGAGGTTCATGAAAATTTTGGTAACGTAAGGGAAGTTATATGAACATTAGAAAATTGTGAGAACATTTTAAGGAAACTTCTGTGGTTTTTATCGACTGTTTCGAAAACTTAAAAAAATAGCGAGAAGTTCAGAGAACTTTAATGCTGTTGTTAATTAATTTGAAAAAAAAATTGCAAGCCCTAAAGAAGATCCAGGGTATTTTAAAGATGATAAGAGATTTTCCAGTAGTTCCATAATAATCAATGAAGTTACGAGTACTTCAAGGATGATCAGAGAACTTCAAAACAGCCCCATTAAATTTAGGAAAATTGTAAGAACTTTCAAGGAGTTCCGAGTATGAGATATTCCGAAGTGCAAACATTCTTGAGTTCCGAAAACTTCAGAAACATTGTGAAATTTTCAGGGATGTTTTATGAATATCAGGAAAATTGCTGGATCAATAGAGCATATGAGGAACTTCAGAGAAATATTGTGCTAACATCCCCCAGAAATCTATTTCTTCCAGATATTTTCCCATCTTCTCCTTGAAGTAGTCGACTGTTCCCTAAGTCACATAACATATGTGGAACTGCATGCAAAATAACTTTCTAAAAGTTGACCCCTTTTTTGTATTGCCTCAGTGGTATAACTGGTATAGTTGGGCATCGATCTGTCAAAACAAAATTGTCGGGATATCGACACTGTGCGTTCATAAGGACCAATGTCGCAAACGTAAACAATTGCTTCTTTCGTATTTTTCTTGTAGCTCCTAGTCATTCCATGTAAGCCATCAATTCCATCGGATAGGGGGACTCTCCCTCTACACGGTTTACGTGTAGTTGACTCAAGTGGTGTTTTATTCTCGGGAAATTCGCAGAGAAAGTTTACGTTTGCGACATTAGCTCTTATGAAAGAAAAGCAGATATATGGTTGCATGCTCTGAAAATATGTGCATGAAATCTAGCGGACTTTGTTTTATCTCTTCACTCCACCATAGAACCAGCGAGCCACCATCTTTTCACACAAAGATTGATAGTATCTTATGCAATTTTTTTTTTTTTTTTTTCCTTTGGTTTGCTTTTTCCGTCGATCTTGTTTTCCGTGCTGAGCACCAATGCTACCGACGTGCCAGGAAGGCAGCTCCCACACCTGGACCCTACCTATCGACCCATCAACTCATGAACCGGGGACCAACGGCTTTACTTCCCAGGATTGAACCCAGGCCTGCTGGGGTGAGAGGTAATCACGCTTACCACTACACCACCGGCGCCGTTGACTTATGCAATTTTCATAGGAGTGAAAATGTAAGGAAATGTCCACCAGGTTTCACGCACAGACTGACGATTGCGGATGGGATTTTACCATAAGAGTAAAGCGATATATAGAGTGAAGGCGAATTGTAAATTGCGCGATGTCAATCATACAAGGTCTGGCCCAACTGACTTATTGGTATTACACATAGTTGAATGTGGAAGGTGGTGTTCGTATTTCACCTAAGAGTTTATATTTTACACGACACAGCTGTTACCTGTGATGTCACGTCTGCTGTTCACAGTATGGAATGTTGTGCTGACGTAACGTCTTCATTTGCTTGCGGAGCAATGTTTACAACATTTCCGCTTCTAATACCAGCAAGGCAGCTTGTCTGCTACAGACCTTCACACTTAGTTTTTTCTACCGAGCTCGGCTGTGCGAATCTCGGCAAAAAAAGTTTCACTGAGATCTCAGCAAAAGTGACATTTGATTGCTGAGTCTCGGATAATGCTTAGCTGAATTTCAGCAAACAAATGAAATGTTTGCTGAGATCTCAGTGAAACTTTTTTTGCCGAGATTTGCACAGCTGAGCTCGGTAGAAAAAAAACTAAGTGTGTTGTATGACATCGGATAATGCGGCCTTTCTTTTTTCGACCAGCTCTACAGGGGGCTTATAGTACGTTCAAACGCTGTCCAGACTGGAGAGTTATAACATGTTATAACGGTTGTCAACTAATTGCAACACAGAAACCACCATCAAGATAGAGCTATAACATGTTATAACTCTGTAGTCTGAACGTACTATGATAGTACGTTCAGACTACAGAGTTATAACATGTTATAGCTCTATCTTGATGGTGGTTTCTGTGTTGCAATTAGTTGACAACCGTTATAACATGTTATAACTCTCCAGTCTGGACAGCGTTTATCAAAGGTTTTTATTAACTAGCATTTTCAAGCCGGTTAGAAGCCAATCAAGAATAACGCAGTAATATTGCATATTTACAGATGCAATATTTCTTAGTCTCTTTGACATGATTGAATTCATTAAGTAAATTGCGATAGTTGAATGTAATGCAAACAATTCGAAGATTTTATGTTTGCGTTGAATAGGTGTAAGTAAACATTTTATATGAATAATATTGTTCACTATGCTATTAGTAAATCAACTAATGAGTGTCATAAAATATTCTGTTGACATTTATAAAAAGTTGATTTTTTTCTAAAAAATCTAGAAACATAACTAGTTTTAGGCCCTAAAGGTCGTCGAATTGACCTTATCTTAAATTTCACATTTTAAAATTCTTTCTAAATTTGTTTTGATACAAGGTAAGAACATATGTTTTGGCAGAAATTTACGCAAATGAAGCCATTAAAATTTATTTCAAATATGGCCCTGGGGCCAAAAACTAGACCACTAGGGCCAATACTGGTACACTTATCCTATGTAAAATAGATTCAAATGATTACTTTCGTTTGTAAATAGTGCTAGTGCTAGAAAATATAGTCGTTTCCTTCCTTTGCCTTTTCGATCAATCTTTCCACGTTTTTAGTGCAAAATAATTGGAGTAGATCTTTTGCTCAAAACATTTTGAATTGGCCGCAGCTGAGAAGCATATGGAGCATTGAGTCCTTGGGTATTACAGGTACCGATAAGCACTCGGTTTGATTTATCGTTTTGCTTGCGAAATTCTTGCGAATGGGACGATGGTCAGCTCAAAACACTGCATAATTCCGCATAAACCGGGACACTTGTTGCAAAATGATGCTGCTTCTCTTTGAACTTCAAAATTTATGCAGTTAACTCCTAATTTGCGGGGTCGTATTTTTTCTCCTACGAATCCAAAATGAAATCAAAGTTGATGCAATTGGCTCCATACATTTAAAACAAGTTTAACGAAAAAAAAATGGTACATACATTTTTCTTCTAAGTAAACAAAAATATTTAAGATTAGAAGAAGTATTGGCGTGGAGTTATCCCACTTTTTTGCCATAGCTTCAGAAAAACAATACATATGGTTTACAATGACATTTCAGGATTACTCGTTGGGTGGTCATTGCTTACAAAATCGGCGAAAAATTTATACTTTTTTGATTTCAAACGTTAAAATATTTGTTTGCTGTGTGACGCGATTTGAGGAGCTAACTATATAGTTATAAATAAAGGACGTTAATAGTTAAGGAAAAACCTAGTCATAAGTTCAAAAGTTCTAAGAAGACAGAGAATTATAAACCACGCTATAATTATTTTAATAGAATTGACTACCCCCTTGATCGCCTTTCTCATTTTACAGCTGGTATAATCAATTTGACAGATCGATGTCTTTCTATACCACTTGAAATCACTGAAATGGGGTCGATTTTTGATTATCGAGTTCCACATATGTTATGTCCTAAGTCCTCTGACGTCCGACTTTTTCCAGAATTTTCATCCAATCTACCTTAAGAAGATTCTCTCAGTATCTCCTGGAAGTTTCTTCCGTCTTCTCCAAGAAGTTCAATGAAAGTTCTACCGAATGTATCTATCGAGTTCTCCCAGAAGTTTATTTCGTCTTCCTCTGGAAGTTTCTCCATAAGTCACTCTCCGTATGTTTTTTCTGCCTTATTTGAAGGTTTTTCCGAGCTTCTCCTAACTTCCCCTGGAAATGGCTCCTCCGGGATTGGCTTCCGATTTCCAAACTTTTCTGGCCTCAGGATTTTTTTTCCGAAAGTTTCTAAAAAAATTGACCAGAAGTTTCTCAATATTTGTCTTGGAAGATACCCATTGGATGTTTGTTTGACATTTTTTAGAACTTCCTTCAAACTTCCTCCACAATATCTTCTTTATTCTTCCTTCGGAAGTTTTGTTGGTAACATTAAAAGACTAATTCAAATATTTCCCAGAAGTTTCTTCCGTCTTACATAGAAAGTTGATCTTTCAATTTTATATAAAAAAAATAGTGAATAGTATTCACTGAATACCGATAAATACCGATTTTTTAATCATTTGATACCGATAATCATGAAAACAATCTGGCAACGCTGTACAGTTGTTGTTTCTCTTCAAGGTGGCTATACATCAAGGTGCTCATCCATTCCCAACAGATATAACCGATTGCAAATATTTTAATTTTCGGTTCGTTAATCGATTAATCGATTATTCGAATGAAAATCGGCCATCACTAGATGAATGTGAAACGTTTTTTCAAATATAAGGACCGTACATAAATAATGATACAATTTGAAAGGGACCGAGGCTAATCACAAATTATGACCCCACGGTAACTGAAATAAACACGAGTGCTCACCGGTTGCTAGAAGGTCCCGAAGAAACGTGCTCAACTTTATGGCTCATCTATGGTACTCTTTTCGGTCCCAAGCTAATCGATGCACCCCTCGAAACATAGGAAAATCCACGAATCCCTCATTTTATCTGTCAAACTTTCATAGCGAATCAAAACAAACATAGTGTAGTTCTAAAATTTCAACTAGAATGGGGTCCGTTAATCGATTTGCTTGGGACCAATAGGCTAGTCAAGTAGTGAGCCAATCGTAAGTTTCCACCGGTTGGTGCTAGTGTACACTACCGCTAGAAAATGATGTAAACACCAAATTATGAACAATTCCAAAATCAATGAGGTAAATTTAAACGTAAACTCTAGCCACAAAAATAAACTGGGCTGATTTAATACGTATTCCATAGTTGAAGATGCTAATTTCAAATAACAGACTGTAGTGGTAATTTTTATACGATAGATGGAGTAGATGAAAGCATAGAGTTGATAGTTCCAAGTGGTGGCGGGGTGGGGGGACACCCCTCACCATCCCTCTCCAAAGGGAGAGTTTGGTAAAGAGAGATGAAAAAACCGATACGTATCTTCCTTAAAAGTTGTCCTAGCTTGCTATTCTAATATCTATATGCAATCTTCACACTGCCGTACTCTAACGGAACTATCAACTCTATGCTTTCATCTACTCCATCTATCGTATAAAAATTACCACTACAGTCTGTTATTTGAAATTAGCATCTTCAACTATGTAAATCGTTGACTTCACGCAGAAGTAATCCTAAAACATATAGTCAAAGTACGTATTCCATGTTAGAAGTGATTTGACATCAACTTTGAAAATAAAAACAATGTTACGTTTATTTCAAAAATATTCCTGTTAAAAATAAACTTGAATACTGTTGTTTGATTTGACAACTACGTGAACAAAAATAAATATGTTTATTCTAAACATGCATTTCCATTAAGGGTGGTCTGTGGGTACTGGGATCCGGGGGCAATTAGAAATCATAATTATAATAAAAAAAAAAATCATACAAGCACTCAATCTGTATAACCATTTTCTTAAGTGACAGTTACTCCACCTACCCTGTATATCTAGTACCGCAAATGACATTCTAAATTAAAGAATTACAATTGTACTACAAACATGTCTGCCAATGGTATTACGATCAACAGATGGCTCGCAAGCTATCGCTACTGAGTTCCGTGACGATGTTTTGATGGAAAACTAGTTCAATGAGCTACGTCCGTTTGTCTGTGGTTATATTGTTCTATTTCTCTAGCTAGTAATTTATCATACCTAGGAAATGTTTATTTTCCTCATTCCTTCAGATATATGTGCACCGATCGCTATCACGACGCCATTGGCTACTACAACCTCCTGATGGTAAAAAATCCCCACTGGAAGCAGTTGCGTACCTTCATGACACCGTCCTTCAGTTTGAACAAAATCAAACGAATGCACGCCCTCGTTGATCAGGTGAGTTCCGTCTGACCCAACGCTAAATCAATCCTAAGTGCACCTCTTCGGAGCTTGATGTAAATCAATTCCCTTCCAATCAAAAATAGTAAACAGCTGACAGCAATCATGCGGACATTATAGATTACGATAATCCGTTATCAAATCGACAAATTGTCTACCTTGAGCACGAGTAGCAGGCTTGCCACGGTAGCATGCTTTTTTGTTTATACCAAACAGTATCAATTGAACAATTCGGGCGTGATAATGGTGCTCGTGGTGTGGCTGACGGTAATCGGCCTGGTCATCTATCTTGGCTGGAAGCGGCACAACTTTTGGAACTGCCATGGAGTGCCATACGTTCTTGAAATTCCCGCCGTTGGAAATTTCAGTTCGGTAGTATTGCAGATACATTCCATGTTCGAATATATGACACATGTTTATAATCACGTGCGCACGCAGAATGCGGATTTCTTCGGAGTGAATATTTTTTTTCGAAAGGCTTTGATAGTACGAAATCCGGAAATGGTCAAGGCGATGCTCGTCAGAGATTCGTCTTACTTCATAAACCGACAAATGTGTACCGATCGCGAAGGTGACCGTTTCGGGTACTACAATCTGTTGATGATTAAGGAACCCCTGTGGAAAGAGTTACGCGGCTACCTTTCGCCGCAGGTGACGTCGTTCAAGCTCAGACGAATGTATCCCCTTATCGATGAGGTAGAATCTAGAGTTCAGAAGGAATCGGTCTAAAGCAAATTTCTCATTCAAATTTTCTACAGATCGGTAAAAACATGCTGACCCAGTTGGATGATCTCCCGCTTAAACCATCTCAAATACGCGAAACCGAATTCAAGGAACTGTGTGCCCGTTTCACCACGGACGTGATTGCCAGTACGTTCTTCGGTATCCAGGCCAATTGTTTGAGTGATGACGACTCCGAGTTCCGGTACTACGGAAGAAAGATTTTCGAATACGGGCCGAAAAGGGCTATCAATATGGCGGCTTTTTTCTTCATGCCGGAACTGGTACCGTATTTGGGGTTCAAGCTGTTTCCACGGGATACGGAACGGTTCCTGAAGACGATTATTCTGCAGGAAATTTCCCGGAGGGAGGCGAGCGGTGAAAGTAGAGGAGATTTCATCGATTCGATGATTGTGCTGAAGAATAACGATGCCACGATTGGGATCGAGGAGAAAATTCGTGAGTATTGATTTGTTGTTGTTATACATATAAGTTGTTACGTTGAGTCATGACATGAATCGGATTATGATAAGGTCTATTATGTATGTGTTTGCGTACACAGCAAACAATATATTTTAATATCTCATCAAAGTGGATGCATTTCATTCGTGTCGAAAATATGGTGTAATATTACTTGCCAAAAAGGACAAAATTATCATTAATACAGTGCATGAAGTGACATTACGCTGCTTTTACTGCATTTGTTTATTTTTGTGGTAATAAAAAATACATGAGACTTTCGATATGATTGAAGTTCATCCTCTTCGAAATAATATTAAAGTTTATTTTTTGTTGTGTAGAAATCTCTATTACTCCTAAAGGAAGTGCTTTGGACTTCTGTGGACAGCCCTCTGGTCTTCTGCGGAGAGTACACAGTACTTCTGCAAGAAGTCCCCTACTTTACAAGCTCCGACCTGTGGTATTCTGGTTGAGCGTGCACTAAAGTGTGGGAGAGCTTTCTGTGAGGGTTGGGCAGAAAGGGTCGGAGACGACGAAGGTGGAATAAAGATGGAGTGTTTTGATAATCTAAATGAGTAAGCGTAGTGTTTTGATTTGAATTTAATACCGATGATCCTGGGGATATCACATTGGCGATCCTGCCATGATGTTGGTAATTAAGGTTTTTGAGAAGTCATGCTGAATGTAAGTATCCCACATATTGATTTTGTTTTGGTCGTGGAAAAGAGTGAGTTTGGATGAAAGGCATATAGAGCTTTTCGAACTTGACACTTGTACCATTCAATTCGAGGGAGTGTGAGCAAGAGGGAAAGAGATTTGTAACCATTCATTCCAATGTGTTGGACGGAAAAATACGATTAAACGTCAAAAAGATCTATGAAAGCTTTGTGAAGTGTTGCCAGAAATATCATTAATACACGTTTTGAGGTTGAGCAGATTTTATGAATCATTGCCAATGTGTCTCCGGTAGCAAGAGAGAAAGATTTGTCATGACTGTTTGAGCCGGTGAAGACCATGGCCAAACAAACGGAAAAATTCAGTAAATAAGTGGCTGAACAGGAATATGTCCATTGTCAAGCACACATTATACTGTTGAGCCGAGTTGAGCTCATGGCCATCAAGTATAACTTATTTTGAACCGATAATGAGACGATCATGGTCAAAGCTAAAAACAAAAATCAAATTAATAAAAATTACGCTGAGTATAGCTCATAGCTAAAATTACGCTGAGTATAGCTCATAGCTAAAATTACGCCGAGTATATCTCATAGCTAAAATAAATTAGAAGAATTCTCGTTACAGCATGCAAAGTTTGGTTCCAGTGTATTGTGTAAATAAGAGTTTTTTTTTCAAGGCGACGCTTGTTGTGAAACAGAAAAGACACGAACAACAACAAAAAAAAACAGACTGGCAACAAACATTACGAACAAGGAGACTGAGGACCCTGTCTAACACGCTACCAGCGAGAATCCAATTCTGGTTAAAAGCTTCCATGCCGACTTCGTGTTTGCATGAAAATACTATCTGTCTCATTAAATTTTCGGCAACAGCTCAAACGTATAACGAAGTACTGCAGATAGAGAGAGTGAGAGATTGACTACATTCTGAAACAGCGCGAAGAAAACGCTCATTCCGAACGACGTCTTGCCGTGTACGCGTGAACCTGTAAGTGGAAAGAATTTGTGGTTTCATTTGCATTCTTATATGTGCAACAGTTGGAAAGATTCCTTGTTTACGGAAGATGAGTGGTGTTTGGCGAGAAAGTGAGCGTTCATCAGCGGATGATTCGGATGCGGAGGATGGCAGAGTTCGCGTTCCGATACTGGCAGTGGATAAGCAGAAATTTTCATTGTATACCCCAGTGACCCAAGCTCCAAATACTCCAGAGTGGTTATCGGGTACGTGGCCGTTGAAATCTTTCGACGAAACATTGCCGACTAACAAGCGGAAAGCGGAATGGGTTCGCTTCCGCGATGAATTTGAGAGAATTGTCTCATGTAAAGCGCCGGTAAGTCCCAGCAAGAGACTCACGGGTATGAAAATCTTTGCCATTGCGAGATTGGGAAAGAAGAATTGGAAGGAGGCCTTAGCCGATTATGTAGCAGCCTATAATACATGGCCACATCACGTTACAAAAATACCGCCAGCTGAATTGATGTTCGGGAGAACGGTGAGAGGTTTATTGCCAGATATACGAACGGATTATCAGCAAATCATGGACGAAGAATTACGAGACCGAGACCAATCATCCAAGTTCAATCGCAATGTTAAAGAAGACGTTAGGCGTAAAGCTTCTAGGCTAAACATCCAGGTGGGGGACATTGTTTTGGTCAGTCAGGCGAAACGTGATAAAGCGGATACGCAATACAAGAATGCTTTGCATGAAGTGATTGGAATTGCTGGAGCTGGGCGTGCGACAATTAAGGATTTAACCACACAAAAGGTCTATGATCGTAACGTTAGATTTCTGAAGAAATTTGTGAAACGCAAGATGACTGCACCAGAGGAAGTATTAGGTTCAAACTCTTCTTTGCAACCCGAGCAGGAACTGAACGTTAACGACATGCCACCGATGACAACAGCAGCTTCACCTCCTGATGGTATAGGTAATGATGAACAGTCCTTACCCAAACGCCGAAACACAAGAGAAATCAAGCGGCCGCAAAGATATCTTTATACTGTGAACAACGATATTTGAAGTGATGTGAAAACTTATTAGCACTATTTCTTGGATTATTCATGCTTTTGTTAATGGGGAGGATGTGGTATTCTGGTTGAGCGTGCACTAAAGTGTGGGAGAGCTTTCTGTGAGGGTTGGGCAGAAAGGGTCGGAGACGACGAAGGTGGAATAAAGATGGAGTGTTTTGATAATCTAAATGAGTAAGCGTAGTGTTTTGATTTGAATTTAATACCGATGATCCTGGGGATATCACATCTAAGGGAAGTCGCTTGGTCTTCTTCTTCTTTTTCACATATCAAGCTTATTACTCTTCACATATTAGCTTATTGCGTACTCTCAACTTAGTGTTCTAGATGCACTTCCACAGTTATTAACTGAGAGCTTTCGATGCCAATACCAATGCATGAATTTGTATATTGCGTGGCAACCACAATGATACTCTATGCCCAGGGAAGACGAGAAAATTTCCAACCCGAAAGACTCCCTCGACCGGACCAGAAATCGAACCCGCCGCCTCCGACTTGGTAATGCCGTGCCTTTAATGACTAAGCTATGAGGCCCCTTGTACTTCTATGGAAAATCCTCTGAAGTTCTGCGGGAGTTACACAGTAGTTTTGCGGGAAATCCTTTGGACTTCAGTCAAAAGTCCACAGAACTTGAACTAGAAGATCCCTGGACTCCTGTAGGAAAATCCTTGGACTCCTGTGGAAAGTCCACCAGACTTAAGCTACAAGTCCTTTAGACTTCTGCAAAAATAAATAAGATCTGGGAAAAGTCTACAAGACTCTTAAGCGAAGTTTCTCAGATTGTTGACGGAAATAAGTTCAAAATGCATTAATATCGAAGATTGTCTTCTTCATGTGAAAACTAGCTAATTAAAATCAAAAATTCGTCTTCAACTACAGCTTTAAAGGACGACATTCTTGTGGCGCAGGCAGCCACATTCTACATGGCCAGCTTTGAAACGACTTCTTCCGTATTATCATTCACACTGTACGAGCTGACTAAAAACGTAAGTTGCACAATCTTTGAACACTTTAACTATCCTTTATATTCGCTCAAATCTCCACAGCCAGAAATCCAGCAGCGCCTCCGGGAGGAAATTCGCTCCAGCATCCTCAAGTACGGCCGCGATCTACCGTACGAATGTTTGATCAACGAAATGCCCTATCTGGGAATGGTCATCTCGGAAGCGGCCCGTCTTTATCCCGTCCTTCCCTTCATCGAACGTCAGTGCTCTCTACCGGATGGGGCCACCGGGTACAAACTGGAACCATTCCACAACTTTGTCGTACCGAACAGGATGCCGGTCCTAGTGCCCATCTATGCCATACATCGGGATCCTAAGGTTTGACCTTTCTGCAACTTCTATTGACCGTTCCATTTTGACCATTTCAAATCCACAGTTCTTCCCGGATCCCTTGCGCTTCAATCCGCAACGCTTTTCGAAGGAAAATTTGGACCAAATCGTTCCTTGCAGCTACATGCCCTTCGGAGTTGGACCTCGGACGTGTTTGGGATCGCACTTTGGAATACTACAGATCAAGGTTGCCCTCGTGCGGCTGATGTCCAAGTTCAAGGTCGTCCGGTCCCCGTCCACTCCCGAGACGCTGACGTATCGGAAGAATGCCTTCACGTTGCACTCCAACGAGGGGTTGTATGCGGATTTGGAACTGGATGAGCTGTGAGGAGAGGGGTGTGAGAATCGGTCACATCGTGGTTCCACGTTTTTATTGTATGAATGAATGTTAAAAAAATTTATCCATTGCAAATAGTTTTTATGTTTTGAATATATCATACAAAGACTGTAAATCGAGCACATTGTAAAATATTAGAAAACTTTGGATCTCCAGTAGCAAATTTATAGATCACCATGTTCAAACATTTTATAGTCATCCATTATATATTAAAACCTTGTCCATTGATTTCAAAATATCAAATTTGCCAGATTTTTTAAGTGTTCGGCTACAAAGTAAAAAAAAAGTTGAATATTACATCGAAACATATCTACATAGGTTTTTGGATCGGTACACAAATTACGTAACGCAAAAAATTTAGATTTCAAGACCAACAATTGAAAAATCCTCAACTCTATTTTGTAAACAAACCTTGTAAGGCCTACAAACAAACGTGTAAACAAACCTCGATAACCGTAACCTACACACTTAGTTGTTTCTACCGGGCTTGGCTGTGCAAATCTCGGCAAAAAAAAGTCCCGCAGATCTCAGCAAACATTTCATTTGATTGCTGAGATCCAGCTAAGCATTATCCGAGACTTAAGTAGCAATAAAATGGCACTTCCGCTGAGATCTCAGCGAAACCCTTTTTTGCCGAGACCTACACAGCCGAGCTCGGTAGAAAAAAACTAAGTATGTATTTACATTCGCAAATCTGAAACACAATCGGGTAGAGGAGAATTACCCCTCCCTGTTCATTTTGTTGGTTTGCTTTGGTGGACTTCGGTTCGAGACAAAATGGACTTACAAGGTTTATTTACAATATGGATTTGAGGCCTTTTTCAATTGTTGGTCTCTGATGCGCTCAGTGAATTACTTTGCCAAATTTCGGTGTTGATTAAATGAATTGCTGATATGTCGGCAAGTGTAATTGGTTACTCTCGGTATCAGCAAAATCCAGGTTAATCCGAGATATCAGCAAAATTATGATTTGCCATGTCAGATCAGTATTTTTCTGCCGAGCTTGAGAATCTGTTTTAAGTGAGTAAGTCATTCTCTTGGTTGTGTAAAATTACCATAGAAGTAACTCTAAGACCAGAAGGTCCCGAAGAAACGAGCTCAACTTTTTGGCTCAGCTCTGGTACTATCTTCTTTTTTTTATATATATATATTATAGTCACTTAAACACTCTTGGGTCCTTCATGACATGTCCGGGGGTGAGATTTGAACTCGTGACTTTGGCTTGAGAGGTATGGATGTTAACCACTACGCTAGGGTCGCTCCCGGTACTATCTTCAGTCTCAAGCTTATCGGAGCACCCCTCGAAACATAGGAAAATCCACGAACCCCTCATTTTATCTGTCAAACTTTCATAGCGAATCAAAACAAACATTGTGTAGTACTGAAATTTATTGGCAAATCAAAGTTGGCACTCGTGGAGAATAGAAGAACTATGAAAGTGATGATGGTTTCAAAATTTTCCACGGGGAGGTATACGAATGCAATCTTAAAATGCTTTTATTTTGCAAATGGAGCATTTTATTTAAATCTGGTTAATGTTACGCTAGTAGAAAATTTAAGGACTATTTAATAGACACATAATATAGAAAAAATAATTTCTTTTCAGATTTTTAGGTGTAGACATAGATTTCAGCTTTTCTACAACTGTAGCAGCAACCAGAATTAAATAAAATGCTCCATTTGAAAAATAAAAGCATTTTAAAATTGCATTTGTATACTTCCCCGTGGAAAATTTTGAAACCATCATCACTTTCATAGTTCTTCTATTCTCCACGAGTGCCAACTTTGATTTGCCAATACTAGAATGGGATACGTCAATCGATTTGCTTGGGACCAATAGGCGAATCCAATAGAGACTAAGCGATTGATTCAGCCTCTGGCGGTGAATAGAGGAACCCTCAAAATATTGATGAGGGTGGAAATTTTTACCGTGAAGCATTGGCAAATCAAAGTTGGCACTCGTGGAGAATAGATGAACTATGAAAGTGATGATGGTTTCAAAATTTTACACGGTGAGGTATACGAGTTCAATCTTAAAATGCCTTTATTTTGCAAATGGAGCATTTTATTTAAATCTGGTTGGTGCTACGTTAGTAGAAAACTTAAGGACTACTCAATAGATATATAATATAGAAAAAATAATTTCTTTTCAGATTTTTAGGTGTATGCATAGATTTCAGCTTTTCTACAACTGTAGTAACAACCAGATTTAAATTCAATGCTCAGTTTTCAAAATAAAAGCATTTTAAGATTGCACTCGTATACCTGTCCGTGGAAAATTTTGAAACCATCATCACTTTCATAGTTCGTCTATTCTCCACGAGTGGCAACTTTGATTTGCCAATAGGAAGGGGAACATATTTTCACCTTTCCTGATTAATTTATCCACCGCAGGTGCTTGAAATCATCATCCACGTGGAATATTTTGTTTTCTGTTTCTGGTTTGCAGTGATCCGGCTGGTGCTTCCATATATTTTTGAAGCGAAAAATTAAGATTTATAAAATTATCGCAGCGGTTATGACCTTCCGGATTTTTAATGTGTGGTTTTTTTCAGCTATAAACCAGTTCAGATCTGTAGATAATCGAAAAATAAAACCACTCCTGCTAGAAATTTGCAAGTTGTGCATTAAAATGTACATTATTTTGAGTTTTGAACATCGTCATTATGGTGTAAACAAATGGGTTGGATGACATTTTCTCTCAAAATCGGCTAGCGCACTCTACATTGATGGTGCACGAAAAGAGCCTATAGGCTAGTCAAGTAGTGAGACAATTTAAACTCGTTTGTCGGCACAAAAGCATTTGTCAACAAACTTTCTAAGACCCTTCCAAACGTGGTATTGGTTTGCGTGGGCGTACTTTGGTTCGCGTGTAAAGGGCCTTAGAAAGTTTATTTATAAATGATTTTGTGCCGTTATCATATGTTATGCCTGATATACTAGCAGCACCTACCTCCCCTTCATAGGGCCGCGACTGTAAATAAATCCCGCCTGAGCTATCACAATAACTGTATAACAGTCTTGACCAATGTATAACAGAGAGGTGAAGTTAGCGATTGCTTTACCTCGATAACCAACTCATTGAGTCTTGACAGCGTTGTGTTTTGATTTTTTGCCAACGAGGATTGAGGGTTCCAAACAGCGCTGCCATTTATACAGATTTATCTGTATTATACAGATTTTTTAATCTTAATACAGACCCGATACAGAATACAGATTTCTCTAATAAACAAATACCATAAACGAACTGTATCCCGGATGGGTAAACTATCCCACAAATGGTTTGGAGGATACCCCAAACACGGCGTTAAGCTCTCTTTTATGGTTATTTTTATTAGGGTTATCACAGATTTTTAAATTACAACACAGATTTATACAGATTTTTATAAGATGCTTGAGAAAAAAAATCTTTATCAAAATAAGTTATCAAGCAGTTCTCACTAATATCAATATATGTTACAATTTTGATATTCTTCGCATATCTTTTAGCTCTCATTTTTGTTCTGTTAGCCATCAACTCCATCAAAATGAAATCAATTTGAGTTATCAGGAATAATGAAAACAACATAATTCTTGTTTTCATTTTGTTCTCACCCTCTGCTCGGGAACCTATCAAATTTCCATCGACAATTAATCATGTTATTCTCGATGAACATTTCAAATGGTCCTATCTGCTTTGATCGATTCTCTTCATCGACTTTCTCTTTCGTCAATAACTCAGCTGCAAAACCTTTCCCTGTTGTACTTGACGTTTTGGACGCTAGATAAGAACCTCCTTTATCAAACTATGTGGTAGAATTAACGCGAAATCTGTTTGCATAGCAGTGGTTATGAAAAGAGAAAGTTGATTAAGAGAATCGATCAAGGCAGATAGGACCATTTGAAATGTTCATCGAGTTATGGTGTTTTTGACAGCATTCACAACCAGAGGACCAACCGCTTTCGGATGCATATGGAGCTGGTAGTAAACGATTTGAGATTGTATGGGGATTTACAGTATTAATTGAATATTTCCAATATAAGCATGTATGTTAAATACAAGAAAAGTGCCCGAGCACATTAAAATGGTACAAATACAAGTACTCGTAAACATTTTACTTGCATTGAAAATGTATTTCGTAAGAAATTGCGGATTTTCTGATATTCTCCATACTGCAAAAATGATTTTACCAGCACTGGCGGGGCGACATCTCTCGACTTTTCGGTGTAACTACCACACAAATGATGTAACTAATTGTATTCATCTATATTAAAAATATCAAATAGTAATGAACTCGTGCACTTTTTTGCATTTAAAACTGCTTATCAGGAAGATAATGAATAGAAACTAAAATCTCCATACATTTTCAAACGGCTTCATATCACTCTTATAAATAAGTACGGACGATATCACAAATGGCGCAATTATATCCCGTATGGTTAGTACGATAGCCCGAATAGGTGGTTAAGCACTTTTTATGGTTATTTTGTATGCACTGTATTTGTAAAACAACAAAACATGATTAATTAAGAAAAAAATCGTCAATACAGAAAATACAGATTTTTTAATAGAGTGGATACAGATTTTTTATAAAACCACCTGGCAGCTCTGGTTCCAAATTTCGCAAGATTACATTAATTTTATGTGATTTTTTGTCCACGAATCGTGCATCAAATTCGTTGAATAGTATAGGTAGTTTAATCGAGAATCCTTCATTAGTAGATACATTTTTCAAAGTATCAATAAATGTTAAAAATTAGTTCCTATTTTCCAAGTTGATGCTCCACGAACATCCATCTGCTTGTGAGTTATCAGAGCTATCGAACGTGCGTGATTTTTATTATCTGCATTTATTATGACTAATGGTAAGAATAATCCTTCATAACGCTCTTGATTAACTTACTGTTGATTGAAATCAAACAATGCCCATAATTTAAGAATGCACTGCTAAACCTGTCGCTGAAGGCACTGTCGAAGTAGATATCAACGACGTGTTCGACGATTTGCTGCTAGTGGAAGAACGCCTTTCGGAGGAGAGCTACCAGCGCGGGTTGCAGGTCGGTGCCGAGCAGGGCAACGTTGATGCCTATCACTTTGGGTACCATCGGGGTGCCGAAATAGGAGCCGAGTTGGGATTTTATTACGGGGTGCTGTGCGCTCAGGAAAATAGTACTGGGAAAGGGACGGAGGAGACAACACCGACAAAGGGTTACATCCTACTGACGGAGCTAAAGAAGGAGATTGAGGAGTTTCCGACGTTTAACGATTTGGAAGTGGATTTACTGGAGAGGTTGGTGAAGCTGAGAAATAAGTACAAGAAGCTTTGTGTCCTGTTGAAGATTTCGGCCAAGTATCCGAAACCGAATGAGCTATCGTTTTAAAGCGATCAGGATGGATGTGGTGTGTAGTCATCTGGAGAGGCTTGTGGATGTGTTGAAGCCGCAGATGGAGTTTTTAAATTGCCACATGGTGGATTATTTAGTCAAGGATCATTGGAGGACGTACATTCCCAATGATGTGAGGAAGGAGATGAAGAATATGTCGGATTTGTTGGAAGCTAAGGAAGTGTTTTGGAACCAGTTCGATTTGAAGTATACCGGAGCGGAGCGGTTTCCTGCGTTGACTAGGCACATCGAAAAGACGAAGAATTACAGATTGGATGCGCTTCCTGGGGCAGCAATGACTGTTGATCAGCTGAGAGCGGATTTCGAGGACTGTCTGAAGGAAACACGCCTGAAAATGCCAGAATTAATGAGTGTTAAGAAACGTCACGAGGTGGAAATAGCTTCGGCGGTCGTAGCTTCGCTGTGTACGGTGGTTGCCGGTAAGAACTCAGGTGATGATTTGAATCGAGTGGCCGTCATCGATGCAGGCGATGGCAAAGGATATCTTTCCTCCAGAGTGGCATTGGAGCATGGAGTCAAAGTACTTGGGATCGATTCCAACGAAGGGCATACGGCCAGTGCGGAGAAGCGACGAGATAAGTTGAAGGTAATGCTCGGAATATTGTTTTTTTTTTAATTACTGATGTTGTTCTTTTCAGAAAAAAGTTCGCAAAGCAGTGAAGAAGTCGGATCTGGCCGATGACCAATATTTCAAGGATTTGGTGGAAAATGATGCAAGTACGGTGTCAAACTATAAAACCACCACCAAACTGATCGACTTTGAAACGAATCTGATTGAGTTGGTAAGGGAACAGTTCCCGGATTCGAATGCAACCCACTTCTGTTTGGCCGGACTGCATACCTGTGGCAATTTGGCCCCCAACTGTTTGAGATTGTTCCACCAGAATCCGCACATCAAGGCCCTCTGTAACGTGGGCTGTTGTTATCATCTGCTAGTAGAGGAATTTGTCGTTGACAAGTACTACAATCGAGACAAGGTAAAGGACAATCCTGGGGTGGGATTTCCCATGAGTGAATTCCTACGAAGTAAAGGGTTCTATTTGGGAAGAAATGCTCGAAACTTGGCTGCGGAATCGATCGAACGGTCATGCTTCAATAGGGAGAATCCAAGCGAGAAGCTGGGCTATCGAGCGATGTTGGAAATCGTTCTGCTACAGCTGGATGCTGATGTGAGCAAGCAAGTAGGTAAGCTGAAATGTACGGATTTTGTAGATTATACGAGGAAAGCTTTGAAGAAATTGAGCGTGGACGACTCAGAAGTTTCCGAAGAGCTTTTGAGAAATTTGGAGTGTAAGTTTCAAGTAGAGCTAGAACAGCTGAAAGTATTCTATCTCTACCGAATGCTGTACGCCCCCATCCTGGAGGGTGTAATTCTGCTGGATCGCCTTCTCTTCCTGAAGGAAAGTGGCTATGAGAACAGCTATTTAGCGAAATTGTTCGATCCAGTGGTGTCTCCACGTTGTTACTCTATTTTAGCGTTCAAATAAAAATGTTTTCAGGTGAAACAACATAATCACTGATCCGAACCCTACCGTCACCGTTGTGGCTCAAAGACCTCTGTAGAATACCTAGACGTTCGCTAAATAAAAGTCCGCTAACTGAGCAAAATTTCAGTTGAAGGATATTTTTGTACATTTCAAGTGATAAGTAAACATGCTTCAGTTAGCGATCGTCAAGTGCATTTCATCAAAATTAGATAAAATTTATTATTGAATGTAATCAACTGCTTCTTGATTACCTTTACAGACGTTAGGTGGTATGTCAAAAAGCATATTACGACAGTGAGCATGCATAAGGGCGTATACGCGATGATCAATTCTCTTCATCGATTTTCTCTTTGTATTGCTACAGCTAAGAGAAACAATTTTCTAGAATTTGTTCAATGCAGAATTGTAACAGGTTGTACAGGTTGTACGGGTTTGAACTATTCTCAGGAAAGAATGATTGACGATTTGGTTTCAGATGTCTTATTAAGGTGCTTATATATAATTCAAAAGCCTTGAATCCAAAAGATTATCAAGATACGTAAGTGGCTCCAGAGATTAATACATCAGACTACAACCCTACAACTCCTGGAACTGCCGGGCTGAATTTGAAGAGAATTTGAAACATTCAAAACTCATTAACTTCCTGTTCGTGAATCACGAAAAAAGACATCGACACACCAGAGTTGATAATAGAAGAGTTACGCAGAATGAAGCTTACAACACTGATGTCGATCAATGGGCATTTTTATTTTTATTTTGGCAACTTTTGTTTTTGTTTACACCTCGAATGACTTCACCTGAGTTGTGTAAGTTTCTTCTAGTTTCAATAACAATACTTCCCACGCAACAGAGTCAAAATCACATGTCTGATCGAAGTGTCTCACACTCATTTTTTATTGCTGGAAACCAGCAAGATTTTGCCGAGCTGTATAACCAGCAATCCTTGCAGCAAAGTGAATTTTGCTGGCTTTCCAGCAAATATTTTTTGACAGAAGGTTGCTGGAAAATCAGCAATTAACCACTTCATTGGAGCAGTTAAAATGACGTTTACTACCACTCGAACTTTGAAATAACACATTATTTTGAGATTTTTTCTTCTAGAACCTCGAGAAAAGTAGCCAACATTTGTGCGTTTCATAAAAAAAATAGAAATTAGTTGGTCCAGTTTTGTGGAATCGCTGGTAGAAAGTCACGCCAAAACTGCTTGACAAAGTGGTCAATTTCTTTCAGAGCTTAAAATTATTGACTGCCTAGGCTGAGTGCGAAAGCACTGCACTATTCAATCCATTGCTCTGTGCAGACCGTTTGTACCAAACGGTAAAGGACGAGGCAATGAAAGATCCAACAAAAACATTCAGTCACTCACGAGCAGGCGACGCACACCGCTTGCCTTTACTCACACAGCATGTAATTGAGTCATTTTTCCAAAGAAAATGCACGCTCAGTCATTCAAAACAAATATTGGTTACCATCACAGAAGAATAAACGTGTTGACTGAGTTACTGACTGAGTGCTCGGCTGTCAGTGACTCGTTTACCTCTGAATCATTCAGACTCTCACGAGGCAGTGAATGATGAGGCAGATGGCAGTTCATATTCATATCAAAATGACTCAATGAACCTGACTGTTTTGCGCACTGATCTCTTTGTTGAAAAAATGAGGTTGATATTGCTGGAATTTCAGCAATTACGGAATTACGAGAAGTTTTTCTCGTTTTAATAAGAAAAACAGGGAATCAATGCATCAAGTAGTTTGAGAAATCACTTAAACCCCTCTTTTATTGAGTCGTTATTGAAATAACTCTACACAAAACTATTGATTATCTTTAAGTTCTTCTCCATTCGCACGTAAGCATCTTCTCCATGTTTCTACCGAATTTATCTAGAATAAAAGCGAAGACTACACATCAAGAAGACTGGCAACTCTGCCATTTTCTCAAACGACCGGTATGAAACAGGCACAATCGCGTCATCTGCCGCTCAAAGGTAAATGCTCCGAACGGATTGGATAGCAAAGGTTCCATCCTCAGAAGAAAGGCTTGTGTATTTGCTCGTTTTTCTAGGCGTTGCTTCCACCTGCGTTCGTGCGCAGCGCTACTGTATCTGTCTCTCGAATTCAGGCAAAGTTGCCAGTCTTCTTGATATGTTGTCTTTGATAAAAGGCAATCTGTTACTAGATAAAATTTCCTTCAAAATATTCCCCTGTCTTACCGTTATTATTATGCAAAATAGGTATAATAGCCAAACAATTATAATCCAGTTAAAATTTTACAACCCAACGCTTTTTGTAAGCGGTCTTCCAACTAATTAACTAGAACCACAAATCTTTTTGACAGTTCATGATTTGCTGGTTTTCGGCAAAAACAACGGATTACTGGATTTTCAGTAATTTAAAAGTTGTTAGCTGTTATTTCAGCTAAAATCGTTTTGCTGGATCATTTTCAGAAAACCATTTTGCTGGAAGATGAAAACAGAATTTGGTGTGAGATTGCGGAACAGAGACCGACGTTAAATAAAGGAATGAAGAAAAAGAAGAAGAGGATTAACCAGATCCAGCTGGTTTGGAACAGTAAATATCAGAAGAAATGTCATGGAAACCAAGCTTTATGTTATATGTTCTAATATGGGATTGGTGAGAGCGAAATCGAAAGCAAAATTTGAGAACGACGAAATTAAATTCACTCGAGTTTATATGAAGAAAAAAATCGCAATAATGTAGTAATAGTCAAGTCAGACCCGAATAACAACAGTTAAAAGGTCTTTAATAATAAAGATAAAATAAAAAGTGCTATAAGCTATAAGTTTGAAATGCCTTGTATTAGTAATACAAATGGTATTTTTAAGCAATTAATACAGTTTTCTATTTGTTGCAGAGTCGTATTTCATGTCGTGGATTTCTTTTGAGATATCGCGGATTTCGCGAATCAAATTTAGGAAATCTTGTAACAGCCCTGAAATGTGTTTATCCTTAAAAACCTACAACAATTAAAATGAAGCAGAAATTGACTGCACAATTTAATTTTTCGGAACCAAAGAATTTGAAATGTTTCATGGAATTTTGTTTTATTTACCTTACTTCACGAGCCCAAATTTATTGACATTTCTCAATTGTGAAAAACCATGGGAGTAAGTGGGTTAAATTTTAAATGTCTTATTTGTTGATTCTACCACGAAAAACATCTTATTCTTGGTTGGCCAGAGCTCTAGCTCTAATTGCTCTGATAGATTTGCTATGACAGCGGAAGTTCACGGATGCTTTCTTACAAACGTCTGATGCATATTCTTCCTTTGGTATAGCTTCGATGCAAGCAGCCGTAGCCTGTCGATGCTCATCGTAGCTCTCAGGCTTGTTTTCCAACTCGCTGGCTACCTGATCCCAGTTGGTACCGGTTTCGTCATCGTAGAATCCAGACAGGATACCGACGCACCGAATCATGCAGTTCATCTCCTGATTGTCGTTCAAGAAGTTCTTTTTAGTTACTTCCTGTCTCGTATCGGGGGAGATTTGAAGGATTTTCGAACATTTCTGGCGGAAGTTGAGGTGCTCTTCGTCGGTGTAGGCAGCACCCTGGGACTGGTGGAGCAGCTGGGATAGGGTTTGTCATTAATCTCCATGGAGAAGAGCAGCAAATGAAAATATACTTACAACTCCAAATACTAGGAAAACAACAGCTACGAAGGACTGCATGGTGCACTCGTGGAGATTCAAAAAAGAACTGATTGTCGATCGCAGAACGGATGGCTGCTTTTATTGAGATTGGAAATCAATAAGTGCAGCCTCTACTCAGAAACTGATAATGGGAATTGAACTATTAGGTTATCATCCATGCCTATCACGCAAAAGGTCACGAGTTCTCATCCCCGGACAAGTCACGAATGGCGTATCTAGTTCGTTTATTTGGAAGGCTCAACCGCGTTAGCTTTAAGTAGCCGATAATTCATTAATGAATGACCTAACACGTGGTAAAGTGACTATAATACAAAATAAAACTTATATCTTAACAATTGAATTTACGCGAAATTTGTTTTCCATTGATAGCCCGAAATGAGCAGCGATGATTTCTCACTTCGTTTCTGTGACTAATAGCAACATCAAACCCTATTCCATCGGTTGCTACTAGAAAACCGTTGGTTCAACGGAGTGAAAAGTTATTAGGAAAGAGGCAATTGCATTCCACACCACCATCGATAACGATCGACGGTGAATCAATGTTTATTCTGATTTTCTGTGGTACTGGCTATTCAAAATAAAGGATTACCAAGTATAAACATTCTCAGAACAGATGCACCTCCCATATCGCATATTCATGATCTGCTTATAACTGCACTATCTGATCCGAACTACTGACAGTAATTCCGTTTATTCAAGGGCTATCACTGATAACCTATGTTGATAAATGTTTCTGAGCACGTAGCCAGTCTTACGCGTTCTCTGCTAGGTTTATTTTTTGCTATGATGGTTAATCGGAATTACCTGTTTATTCCATTCATTTCCCTGGTACAACCGGTTGGTGATGTGATTAATTCCAAGACGACGTGCCGGCATTCTAATCATAGCGGTTGATTACTAGAGGATATTACGTGTTCTCGGTCGAGCTATCGGTAATCCAAGCAGTATCCCAAAGGGAATGACACATCCTGATCCTCATCTTGTTGTCCACTATATAAATTTGACTCGCCCTAATGAGGATGGATGAGGGTTAGAAATACTAAAAAAATACCCTCTGAGTATTTCTAATGATGATGTGTTGTTACCCCTGCCTTGAGCCGACGCCGGTGGTGCAATGGTAAGCGTGACTGCTTTCTCACCCCAATGGGTCTGGGTTCAATCCCAGCCGAGGTCGGTGGGATTTTTCTGAGGCCTAAAATCTCTGGTCACGTCTCTCTTCGGAAGGGAAGTAAAACCGTTGGTCCCGGCCCATGTGTGTTGATTAATGGGTGCCATATCCTACGCAGGTGTGGAAGCTGCCTTCCTGCACATTCGATTGCCGTCAATGGATGGCAATCGATGTCCGTCGGTGATTGGCACTAGATTGCGGAACAGAGACCGACGTTAAATAAAGGAAAGAAGAAGAAGACCTCTGCCTGGAATGAAAGTTTAAATATCAACTTTTGAAGTTTTCTATTTGAACCATTTAACTTGTTTGTTTTCACCTTTTTTTCCATGCTAAAATCACAGGCAAACATACATAAAACTCGCAAGTTGTTCATCGAACAAGCATTTAACGATTTAACGGTCAATTTAAAAGTATCGTAGTTGGTAGTACCGCCACCTGTGGCTCGCATAGACTTCTCTGACGTTTGTGAAATGCGCAAGTATTAGTGCAGACCTTGGGGTAAATTATAAGTATTAGTGTTAGAAAACCTTTGAATTCACCCAAAGTTTTGCACTAATACATGTACAATTCATAAACGTCAGAGAAGTCTATAGTCAATTGCCTTGCGTTTGACGTTTACACACTACCGCCATCTGACTACCCACCACAGTGTATTCAACAGATGGCGGTAATGATTGAGCGACGATGTTTTACAGTGATAAATATTCAAGTTGTTATGTCTGTTTGTCTGTGCTAAAAGCATTCCGTATCCACATGTGTAAAATTTATCGAGGGGGTGTTTTATCAGCTAGAGATTGTAACATGAGAAGAGAACATAGGCATATACATACAATAGCATACGCTGCACTATAGTTGATAACGATTACGAATAAATCGCGAAGTTTACAATTCTATGCACAAATAATAACAGTTCCCCTCGTCAGTTTTGTTTTGAGAGAAGTTCTGCGAAAGGATGCTCCGGAGCTGACTGATTAAAATCATTAAAATAAATAATCCATCAAATCGAGGTAATAGTTCAGTTCGATTAATTGCCGAGGAAAGTCCTTCACTCTCCACCATGTCTGCTTGCAAACGGACTGTTTTTACCATTCTTACACTGATATCTTCGGTCGATATTTACAATGTGTAGTGAGTAACTTTCGTTTTGGTACTTATGATCCTAATCGTTAATTAAACATTTCGCAAATATTTCAGCACACTATTTCCCGCTCGAAGCCCTGGAAATGCTGATAAAATTGCTTACTCTAAATCCAAACCTAGGACTATTGAAGGCAGCTAGCGCTGACAAATTTTCGGGTAAAGGCCTAGTTCAATAGTCGGGATTTATATGTAAATAAACAAACAACCTTAAATAATAGTGATGTGAACGTAATAGTAATAAAGGTATTCAATACCAGTTTAATGCAAGGTTCAGATTGGCGAGTTAGAACATGTTATAAGCCTAGTTATAAGGCTATTTTGATCAAAGTCTTGTTGCGTTTTTCTGTAATAAAAATATTCATAACATGTTATAACTTAGCAATGTGAACAAGGCATCATATTCATCAGTGTTTTTTTCAATGCATTTTCGTATACTTTCACAATATGTAAAGGATTTACTGTTCAAAATCGACACACACAACATGCATTCTCATTCACTCGAGTTTTTAACCGATTATCATAAAATTTTCAGGGAGTAAAAAGAAACAATTAAAGTTTTTGGCATCATTTATTTAATTTATTTTGCCTTTATGTCTGAATACGCGAACCTTGGCCTTAACTCCAGCCATAAGGTTCTGCACGAGCTCAGAATCGACAGTTTTTGCATATTAACTCATGCTTTCTTTATTTCTTCTACATTCTTCACCACTTTAGGTCGTTTTAGAAGGTGCTCCCTCATAATGGCCCAGTGCTCCGTAACGTGCGTAGATCACCTTTTCGTGGTACGTTACGGGATGTAAGATCTACCAGCGATTCGTGGTACGTTACGGGATGTAAGATCTACCACCGATTCCATAGTCCTGACTACTTCAAACTAGGGGAACAGGATTTTTCAGTAATTAAATGAACACATCTTAGTCCTTGCTACTTTTTATGCCTTTATGATAGTGACAAGACTCGGCTTTGTTCACCGAGGATGATCTTGAAACAAGGAAAAAATGAGTTAGTTAGTCTTCATCTAAGTGATTCCTAATCTTCTATTCGTTGTTCCCTAGTTTGAAGTGATTAAGACTAGGGCTCTGATGCATTGTCATTATCGGTGTCATCCTTAATTTTGTTGCTAAGGAATCCAATTTTGACTGACAAAGGGGCGCGCCTTTGGAGGGTGTTTCAATACTTCGAAGGGTATAAATAGCGGGACCTTTCAATTAAGCTGGGTTTAGACAGCGCAAGTCAATTGATCAAGTCAGTTGAATTCAACTGACTTGAACGTGTAAACTATGCCATTCAACTGACTTGATCAACTCACTTGAATTGAAAAAAGCTGAACCAGGCTCAACATCATTTCTCAATAGTGATGGAGTAATACCATAGAGGTAACTCTAAGACTAGAAGGTCTCGAAATAACGTGCTCAACTTTTTAACTCATCTCTGGTACTCTCTTCGGTCCCAAGCTAATCGATCCAACCCTCGAAACATAGGAAAAACCGAGGGAGGCGACACATCCAAATCTCAATTCTAGATGGTAAAAAAATCTCACAATAGCGAATAAATCTTCGAAAAATCTTCTTTCATTTCTCGCATCTACTTGCATCACTCATCATCTTTTTGCAGGAAATCTTCAAAATCGTGATAAATCTTCTTTCTATATACTCATTGTACGCGCAGCTAGCCACAGCAAAACACAATATTTCCTGCATCGTAGATAGAGTCGCCCCCCTCGGGAAAAACCAATAACCCCTCATTTTATCTGTCAAACTTTCATAGTGAATCAAAACAAACATTGCGTAGTAAAGGCCCCAACCACGCGTTTGTGATCGTTCTCGTTGACCTGATGGCTTTTTTCCGGATCTTCGCTTCCGATAAACAGTCAGACGTTCTTCGAACCGTTTCGCACGCACTGTTCTTTCGTCGCCACTTTTGAAAACTTTTGCTCACCTGATAAAATCAACTCACAGAGTCTCAACAACATACATTAAACTATGTCTACGCAAAATTTCAATTAATTTTACCGAACTGATCAAAAGTTAGAGCAATTTTAATGTATGGGGATTTTAAACGGTACAGCCTTTATATCGGTGAAGAAAACTACTGATTTTATATTGATTAAGCAGCGCTTTAGTTCTTCTTTCAAATGCAATTAGTTCAGTTTGCCCAATTTTGCCCGACTTTGAGATTTTGTTCTTAGAAAAACTGCTATTTTTGGTCAAAACTTTTGCTTGCGTTTTAACTCCGTCACACCGGTTCTTTGTATTGCGTGCCCCTCGTGTATACTGCCTTTAATCACAAACGAAGTGACAGTTGACTAACTGGCGAAGAAATCCATTAAAATAATGTGGTTCACTGTAATTGGCGTCTTGCAGTGAAACTTTTCCAAGCTTTCGCCTCCTACATTTCGAAGTGAGAACTACTAGAAGGAGGATAGTTTCCAAATTTTCCAAGTAAAACAGACGATTTTTGGGGCAAATCGGTCCATAAAGAAAAACTAATAATTTCCTGTGGAAACTTTTGCTTGAATAGTGTAAGAAAACATGTTTGAAAACTAATTGTTATTATTTCGGTATGGATCGGAGAGGTTTTCATGGAAAATAATGCATAACAAGTTTGCACCCACAGCGAGAGGTTACCTCCTGCGCAGCTGCATTTTTCGGAAAATGGTGAATATGTGCGATTTCCACTAAGATGAAAGTGGAAATTAAGTTAATTTACT